CTTTAACCGCCAAATTGAAATTAGAGGCCTGTGATCTGTGTAAACAATGAATTTTTGATCAAATATAAAATGTCTAAAATAGTCAACCGCCCAAACGATCGCTAATAATTCTTTCTCGATTGTGTGGTATCTACTTTCTGCACCTATTAATGCCCTGCTCGCAAAGGCGATCGGTCTATCGACAGTTTTCTCATTAGATAACACCGCTCCTATCGCGTAATTGCTAGCATCTGTGGTGATGACAAATGTATCCTCATAATTAGGCCTTACTAACAAAGGTTCAGATATAAGGCATGTTTTAAGCATTTCGAAAGCTTCCTCACATTCACGTGTCCATACAAATTTTACATTCTTCTTCAATAAATCGTTCAAAGGTTTCCTGTACTTTGCAATGTTTGGAATGAATTTTCCATAAAAATTAATTGTACCTAAAAATGATCGAACATCTTTCACTGTAGATGGACTTTTCATCAATTGTATACTTTCTACATTTTCTTTGGTTGGTTTGATACCATATTGATTTATTATATGACCAAGATATTTGATTTCTGTTTTCAAAATTTTGCATTTTACAGGTTCCAATTTTAAATTATGTCTGCGTAATCCTTGTAACACTTTATATAAGTTTTCATTATGTTCTTCGATTGTTCTTCCTGAAATGATGACATCATCCAGATAAACAACGGCTCGAACATCACCGATTTCGTATAGTACCGTATTCATTAATTTTTGAAAAGTTGATGGGCTATTCCTTAATCCCATAGGCATTCTTGTAAATTCAAAGTGTCCTTTTGGGGTTGAGAAGGCTGTTTTAGCGGCATCTTTTGGATCGATTGGGATTTGATAAAATCCTGATTTTAAATCCAATGTTGAAAAATATACACTATCTCCAAGATTATCCATGATTTCATTGATGAGTGGAATTGGATATACAAAAGGCTTAGTTATCAAATTTAAAGCCCTAAAGTCCACTACAATTCGATATTTCTTATTTCCAGCTGCATCCAAGTCCCTTTTTGGTATACACAAGACTGGTGCATTCCACGGGCTTTTACTTGGTCTGATGATACCTTGCCTATACATTTCTTCGATTTCTTCATTAATTTGCTTTTTTGTTGCTTCTGGGAATCTGTATTGCCGTTTATTAATGGGTACGTTCGTTGAAGTTTCTATTTCGTGCACTGCCGCATCTGTGTGGGTCAGTTTATCACCCTCAAGAAAAAACACATCACTAAAATTACTTAAAATTGATTCAATTGATTCTAAAGCGCTTCGTGATAAATGATCAAGTTCGATCTGTTCGAAGATTTTATTATATCGTTCGTGTCCTTGAAGCATTTTAATATTTTTGTATTTGACGATATCGTAGTCTATGTCAGCATTTAAATCCAACATTTCTCTGTCGTCATATTCACTTCCTTCTTCATTATATTCTTCATGATAAAAATCATTTTCCGACGGGTCATCTGTTTCCATTCCATTGAATGTATGGACTTGTGTAAAATCTTTACACTCGTCTTCCTTATAGTTTTTCTTGCAAGTGTCAAGCTCGAAAATAGCATATTCAAAATTTCTTCCAATTTGTGCTACATGTTTTTGAAGGAACTCTCCTCCGAGTATACATGGTACTAATAAATGTGTCATTAAATGAAATTTTGCTGGGAAAACTATGTTTCCTATGATTAAACCTATATTAACTGATCCCATTGTTTTTGTATTTCCTCCAATTCCTGCTATTGTTATAGTATCATTTGTATTTACTTGGTCTATTCTTAGCGATTTGACTGCTTCATATCTGAGCAGATTTACTGATGAACCTGTATCGAGTAAACATCTCAGCCTATATGCGGGGTTATTAGATGTAGGTATCTCGACAAAAAATAAGTTATCTCTAGAATAGATTTTTTTAAGTGCTATTTTATTTGATATTATATTATAAAGGGGTGATTCGCTGTTATTATATTGCTTATTTTTATTTTGTTTCCCCATTATTGCATGAAAATTAAATTCTATTTCATGACTATTTTTACTTGAGAGCTCCTTATTTCTCTCAATTATATTTTCATCCGCTGTGATTCCTACCATGTCCTTTTTAAAAACGTATGGTTCAATTTCCACATATCGTTTAATGTCTTTCACACTACTTTCTCTATGTATATAATCAATATATTTTTTATTGATAGGATGAGAGAAGCTTTTGAAGATTGCAAATCTGAAGCTCCCACCTATACTTTCGATATGATCTCTTGCGAATGCTGTGCCTATCGTGGCTGGTACAGCTAAATTATGAACTAAGTTAAATTTTATTGGTATGTTACTTCTGCCTATTTTTTAATTGACCCAAATGTCTCCAAATGATTCTTCTTCTTCTCCGTCTATCTCTGTATATGCCACACTAAGTGGGTTTATCAGTTTTGCTCCCACTTTCAATGCTATACTTTTGTGCATAAAATTTTCGGTTTTACTTGTGTTAAAATAGTATCTGCAAAAGAACTCCGGGTTTTCTGCTGTTGACATATACCAGTAGAAATCTCCGTTATTTCCACCGAACATTGGATATTTATGCTTTGTTGTAATGATTGGGTCAAATTTTATCCCAGCGTGAAAACATTGGGAATCTGTAACATGCGTCTTTCCATGATTCCGGAATTTTAGTTTTTGTCTTGTGTTGAAATTATCTCTGATACTGAAATTCTCTCTGCGGTTTTCGTCATTGTATCTATTGCTGTATTCACCTTGGTAATTTATGTTGTAGTTGCCGTTATCATTCCTGTTGTAATTGTCTGACCTATTCGGTGAATTATTGTTATTCATATTTCTGCTAAAATTATTATTTTCTTGGTATTCGTAACTCGTGCCCCTGTAACCATTTTGATTTCCATTGAACGGCCTTTGATTAGACCTAACGAAATTATTCGGAAAATCTCTATGAGGTCTGAATTTTCTATCAAACGAATTGTTTTGTTGATGTTTTCGTTCATACCGGTTAAAATATTTGGGTTGATTAACATGATTATCCCAATCATTTCGGTTCCTTTGTGATTTTGATTTTTCAGCGATGTGAATACACTGAAGTCTCTTTTCGATATCCTCAATTTGTTTTTCGTAGATACACTCTTCCTGTAAACATTTGACTAGTTCATTGAAGGTGTTATTTTTCTGTGATTTTGCCATATTTTTCAAGCTCCTATTTTTCAAACCTCCCAAAAAATGTATCCTCAAATGCCGTAGTGCATATGACTCTCTGCCTTTGGCATTATTTTCTTCATATTCATCCACGTGTTCTTTTAATGTTAATGCCCTATCTTTGTAATCTTGAAAGGATTCGTTTGGTCCTTGCTCCAAAGTTTCGATTTTCTGAAAAATTTCTTCCAGTTTAACATTTGTCCCAAATTCTCTTTCGAGATTGGTTCTCACTTCGGGCCATGTTTCCGCATAAATGCGTTTGAAATACCCTGATGCCGGATCTTTCAATTTCATCAAAATTACCTGAATTAAAGGTTCATGCGATTCTTCTACTGGCAATTTCTTAGCGAAGAAATCGCACTGGTATAAAAACAATCGTAATTCTGAGGCCGCGCCTCTGAACTCTGGAATACATTGAATAGCTCTTTCAGTTGGGAACTCTGCCATATTTGTTTGTTTTTCGAAGCAAACGAGTAAAAATGCGACTATTTCTCAGTCCCTTATTAAATTATGGTTATAGCTATTATTTTGCCTTTTCGCGAATTTAATTGGATAAAAAACGCTTTCAGCGTAAATTCAAGACAAATATTTTTTTTCATGTTTTGTGCTTTGTTAATCAAATTTGCCTGTTGGTCTTTTAAATTTGTTTAAACTAATTTAACGTTCCCTTAAAGCATCTTGCAAGAAATGTTGCTTACAAAGACGAAATGTATACTATTTATAATATTGTACGCGTAAAATATTTATAATACGGTAATGTATAAGAACTTTACACAATTTTTTTATTTTTTTTTTAACTGTGTACTCACCCTATCAGGAGCAGGATCAGGGTTATTCCTTGTTGAGTCTGCGATGAAGTTCCCAGATGAAGCGCCCAGATGAAGTCCCCATATCTTTATAGTTGACCAGATGTGCACCAATGTGCTGTACTCTTTATTAATCACTAGTTCACTTTTTCCTTTTTTTGTAATTTAATCAAAGTCACTTTTTGGTTTTTTAACACTTACTGATTTTAGTCAGTCGAAATTTTGGCGTTCCAACACTTGAAAATAGCGGTTTAGTTTCCGCTGTCACCAGATGAAGCGCCCATACTCCGTTGCGCATCCATATTTCACTCCCGTGTTGAAGTTTCCAACGTAGAGCAACAACTCGCGTGGTCTTTCTTTCTCCGTAAAATGAAAGACAGTGCAATTCCATTTCTACTGTATGGAAAAAGCTCTTTGATGAATCAGTTATCCTGAGGTTGGAACTGTGCTCGTCCGCACCTAGCAAACCTCGGATAACTCATCAGAACAACTGCCCCGATTCTTTATTCTTCGAAACCTTTTATACATGAATTTGTTACTTAAACTCTACACAATAGTTTTTCTCCAGTATGTACATATAAAGCGAGACAGATAGTTTTTCTCTTGGAAAGTCGGTGTCTGTTTTTTTAACAAGAATTAATGCTCCTCGCGGTAGGAACGGCTATGTAGGGTGCTTACTCACCAATGTTTACTTTGACCTTTCTCGAAGCACCTAGTTAAGCCAGCGCGCATCGCTGACGACGCGGTAGCAACTGTTTATAAACAACTGACCCTGGAAATGTGCAACATTGTCACTGCTGCTGTTAAGTTGTGTATTTTCTACTACCGTATGGGGGTCTATTACTGGTTAATTTCTTACTCAGATTGATAATGGATTTTGAGGCCTTTGCAGGGAGAGGGAAAAAGAGATCTGGAATAGGGTTTATGATTAAAAAAATTCACTATTTCTGAAACATATACTGAATCCTTTCGACGTTATATCAACTCTGTAATTATTATTACAGAAACATATAAAGGGTGTCCACGATGAAATTGCCACACACAAAATTGATTCGCAAAATTCGAGTTTTCATCCGATTGCCATCAAATTTTCAGGGATTGAGAAATAACTATTAAACTTCATTTTACCATTTTACTCGTATTTTATTTACAGTCCATACGCAAATGCCCGCACCTTGGCCTTAACCCCGGCCATAAGATTCTGCACAACCTGTGAATCAACCGTTTTTTGCATGTAAACCCATACTTTCTTCAGTTCCTCGACTGTCTTCACTACCTTAGGTCGTTTAAGAAGGTGCTGCTTCATAATCGCCCAGTACTTCTCAATGGGGCGGAGCTCCGGAGTGTTGGGAGGGTTGAACATTTTCGGCACGAAATTGACCTTATTGTCCGCATACCACTTCAGCACGTCCTTGGAGTAGTGGCATGAGGCCAAATCCGGCAAGAAGATTGTTGGGACGTTGTGGGCCTTCAGGAGAGGAAGCAGCCGCTTCTGGAGGCACTCTTTTATGTACACCTGTCCGTTCATCGTGTCCTGGGTCACGAAAGGTGCACTCCGCTTCCCGCACGTGCAGATGGCTTGCCAAACCAGGAATTTCTTCGCAAATTTGGACATCTTCTGAGTGCGGACATGCTCCGGAACGCTGAACTTATCCTTGGCCGTGAAAAACAGGTTGCCGGGGATCTGTTTGAAGTCGGCCTTCACATATGTTTCGTCGTCCATGATGCAGCATTCAACTTTCGTCAGCATGTTGAGGTACAACTTCCTGGCACGGGTTTTGGCGGACTTGTTCTGCTTCTCGTCGCAATTAGGGGCCTTTTGTACCTTGAACGTTCGAAGCCCAGCCTTAGTTTTGGCCTTCTGGACAAAACTTCGGCTTAGGTGCAGCTTCTTAGCCACATCCCTAACGGAGGCGTTCGGATTTCGGTTGAAGGCCCCAACTACGCGGTTGTGATTTTTGGTGTTGTACGGAATACTTTTTTCTTCACTTCTGGGCTTCCGATCGGTGGTCAACCGTTCCTCGAACCACTTAATCACTCGCGACACCGTGGAATTCGCGATTCCCAACGTTTTAGCGATGGAACGATGCGAGAGATCCTTGTTCTCGTGATGAATGCGCAAGATTTTATCACGCACGAGCTGTTCTTTCGACTCCATTTCCGCGAGTTTTGATCACAGAACTTTAAAACTTGCAGGATGTAAATAATGCACTATGAACTAAATCCACCCAAATTTTCATTAAATTCTACCCAACGGTTAAAAAGTTAGAGCAATTTCATAGTGTGGCAATTTCATCGTGGACACCCTTTAAAAAAAACCAAACACACACACAAAATACAAACTAAACACAAGGTTAATCAAACTAACAATCTATGGTTAATATTCTTAAAGAAAACATATATGAGTTCCATAAACTCCAGATCGCGTCTAGCCAAAATATCCTGAACTGGGACATTAGGTTGTCTACCTCGAGCCCGAAGGGAATATCTTCTGAAGTAGGGCGCTGTAAAATAACGTTTGCCACGATAAATATTTTAGTCTTACGATACCAGGAAAAGGTGAATATGGGAAACATTCCAATATTATTAAAATTGGGGCTTTGTTTTCAATGGCATAGCTTGTGGGGGGACGCTTGGGGGCCAGGCCATGTCCAGATTTATCTACACCCCAAGATTTTTTGATGATTTTTTTATGCACTCCGTAGTCCAGCAGGTTCGAGGTTGCTTTTTTATTTATTCCAAAGACTGTGTATATCATAATTCCAGAGAACTTCAAGATTAGGGCGTAATTGCTTTTGTAAACAAACATGCCAATCACCGATTTCTCACGAACTTAAGCTCAATCTTAAAAACTAATAACACATACAGGTAGAGGAATGATTTCTCCATCATTTGGTATAGTTTGTTTGTAATTTTGAGGTTTTATTTGCGAGAAATCGGCGATTGACGTGTTTGTTTACAAAAGCAATTACGCCCTAATCTTGAAGTTCTCTGGAATTATGATATACACAGTCTTTGGAATAAATAAAAAAGCAACCTCGAACCTGCTGTTTACAAAAGCAATTACGCCCAAATCTCAAATCACTCCGGAATTGTTACTTCTGATTCACAAGAAGCGGAATTGATATCACAGAGAACTAGATATTTGTCGCTTGGGATTAGCTTATCCATTTTTAATGTGCAAGCTCACCAATTCAAGCTATTTATAGATTAGCACCGGCGCCGGTCACATCCACACGATCTTTTGGAAACGGGGAGGACCCAATCAGCACACATGTTCTATAGCAGTTTATACCCGAGCAGAGAACGAAAACAAAATGAAAATAAAATTTGATATTTTGATATAAGCGTTCGTGATAACATATTTTGCCTACCGTGTGGTCAAGTTAACAGTAATCATAACAAAAAAATAGATCTAAATGGTATATGAAGGATGTTAAAATGATAACAAATCATGTTTTCTTGATAACAAATCTTTTTTTTTATTTATTTATTTGAGAGATTTTTAACCATAGGCTAGTTTATCTCTTAATATAACAAATCGATGTATGCGTTTTTATATTAGTAATTTCGTTAATAATAAACTAAATAAGTAATCAATATGTTATCATAACTATGATAGAAATAAAAATGAAATTTCTTATTATTTTGATATCATTATATAAAATTGAGTAATCTGAATGTTTTGAAATCTATTGGTTGATATCAAGATTCAAAATTAAAAAAAAAATTTTATCAATAAGTTTTTATATATTCAAAATAAAACAGACCTATATTTCAATCAGTTCTATGACTGAACGAAGTAGGCTGTGCCGGCGAACGGTCGTGTTTATTTTTGCAGTCAAGATTTTTTCTCGTGATTCTCCGTTCTGAAGTGCTTTTAATGAAGAACAATCCCTAGTTTAGTTTTCGTGAAGTGGATTTTAGTCTGAAATGTTAGTTTCTGCTAAATTGGAACACCTTTGGATACGGTTGTTTGTTCTCTGTTTTGTGGTGCGTTCGTGTTCATAGTTTTCGGCTGCATTTGCCGGACTAGCGCTGGCGCTCTGCCTCCCGGACGTTTATACGTGTGTGATTGGTAGTTTTCTCGCTTTCCGGGAAGTTTTAGAATAGAGAAAGAAAACGTGATTCAACATGTTTACAAGCATCAGAAGAAATGTCGCAATCTGCGTTATTTGATTTTCTCCCGGACCAGAAATTAGTGGCATCGCGAGTGATAATTTTTAATTTCAGTTTATTTACGCGCTGCAAGGTGCGTGAAAGAGTTCGGCACAATCGGTGTTGATGTTGGCTCACTGCTTAAACTTTTTTTTTGTGTGTTCGAAAGAAATTGATCGAAAGTGTACCAAAAGTGCTTCTGAACGTGTTTCGCAGTTGGGAGTGGTGAAGTTCGTAAATTCGCGGTTTATGTTCAGTGAAAATTCCGTATCACAAAATTGCTCAACGAGTTCCCTTTTTTTGCCGTTTGACGACGACGGGCATGCGAGAGAAAAATAAGCATCGGGAATGTACTCCGGCTGTATTGATTTGGTGAGTTCGTTCCAGTTGAAGATTGTTCTTATACATATCTCGATTGCATTTTCGAGGGGACGTCCGGAGAGCCTTGAGATTTAGGCGTTGTTGCTTTTGCGGGCAGACGAGTTGGTCGCCGGTAAGGTCCAGTAAGTGCTGCCAGCAGATGAATCAAGAGGTATTCGAAACAAAATTGGTAAGAAATGTCCATTCAAATCATTTTATTACAGTTAAACAAATTTCAAAACTATATGCGTGCCAGATTTGGAAATAATATTTTTTGAATCTGGAAGTGTGTTTATGATACCATTATCCATTTGATAAAGGTAGAGTGAACATGCGGGGCTTATTGTAAGTAAAAGTGACCTCGGAGTGGTCGTGAATTACCAGGCATTCTGAAATGGGTCACTGGAGCTGCAATAGAGCTAACACCTTCTAACTCCCGGACTAAACCTGCTTTAATTGAAGGGTAATAAAAAGCAGTTTTCTTCCATAATAACACTGCCGGACAGTGGGGGTTAGATTGTACACACACACACACACACACACACACACCTATATTTCAATCAGTTCTATCGACATCTATCAGCTTTTTTCAAATTCAATTGACAGGTAGATTAATATCAATAAATGTTGTAAAATATAACTTTAAAAATCATAATTGCCTTTGTGATGTTTATAAAGAAAACAGCAAGCATCCTGATTGACTTGCATGAAATGCTCTTTTTTTAAATACCAAATTTTGTTTTTAATTATATATTTTACAAATCTCAAAATAATATCAAAATATGAATTCAACCAAAATTAAAAAATAGTATATCAAAATATGTTATCAACATAATTTCAAGAACATAATTTGAAATCATTTTGATAGTATTTTGATATCCGACTTTGCTCGGGTATAATCTTTGTATGACTGGGTTTGGTTGTAAAGAAGTTTACTCAATATAAATCTATGAATTTGTGTTACTTGGGGATGATTAGTATGACAACCGTTGTTATATAGACTCTGTATTTACCTCTGCGCCTCTACGATTGCCATTGGAAGGAAAGTTGCGTTAGTGTGGTTCAGGTTATTTTTGATCTGGATTCACTGTGGTACACTACTAATGCGATGGGATGGGTTAAAGCAGATTTGTTTATTTAAATCTAATGGGCTTAACGGCGCCGGTGGTGTAGTGGTAAGCGTGATAACCTCTCACCCCAGCAGGCCTGGGTTCAATCCCAGTCGGCGCCGCCGGGATGTTCTGAGGTATAACATCTCTGATCACGCCTTCCTTCGGATGGGTAGTAAAGCCGTTGGTCCCCGGTTCATGAGTTGATGGGTCGATAGGTAGGGTCCAGGTGTGGGAGCTGCCTTCCTGGCACGTCGGTAGCATTGGTGCTCAGCACGGAAAACAAGATCGACGGAAAAAAACAAACCAAAGGAAAAAAAAATCTAATGGGCATAGAGAATTAGGCATAATGACAAATACAAGGAAATGGACGAGCCTGGGATTGAATTCCCGACCATCTGATCAGTAAGCAGAAACGGTAACAACTAAGCTACAAGCCTCGTCTGAAGCAGGCTCAAGGTTGCTTTTTAACAGCGATTCGTAAAAATTGTCCACAAGCAACGATTTTTTATTAATGTTCCAATGTTGACTACTTTCCTTAATGTTTTAAACTACAATTTAAAGAAATTATTTTAAATCGATATTTTTTCCTTTGTCGGGTATTTTTATCACTGCGACCATTTTTTCTGATCTATTGTGATATATTCCAAATTCTTTTTTAGCTATATTAAGATGCCGTATCATTATCCCAGCAAGGCATTACACTCCGAATAAAGTGCACTGCCGAGTTGTTCTCCAAATGTCAAAGGATTCTATCAGCCCCTTCTCAAAGAACTTACGCCTTTTATTGAAAATTGCTGGACAGTGGCATATCAAATGTTCCGAGTCTCCCTTTTCTATGCCACAGAAGCGATATATATCATCTTGATGTTTTCCAATCTGCCTTAAGTGATAACGGCTGTTATAAGACCTGTATATATGCTAAGATCTTTCTTAGAAAGTTCAAGGATTTTGTGGGTCACATAATTGTTTGGAATGGAAGCAATGGAAGAATTCTTCCAGTTTATATAAAATTTCTTGAATTTCAGCTTGAAACACAGTTGGTCATCTGCCCATAGGAACAGATATGTCTATACCTTAGCCAGTTACTCCTGCTAACACTTGATTGTACAATCTTGAACCATCTGTATAAAAAACAATCGATCCTGGACGAAGAACCGGACCACCAAATTGCCACGACGCCCAGGGTCAAATACTTGGAAAATTCTATTGAAATGTATCTTTCCTCCATCCAGTTGCTTCTTACTAGAGAGTTGATACTTATAATTTTTAGAATCCTAAGATGTCCTGTAAGGTCTCTCTCAAAGAGTTACACTGACCTTGTAATCCTTAGAGAACTCTTTTTCGGCTTCTAATTGTACAAATTGGTGCAATGGTAGCATATAAAGCAAAGCATCCAATGCCTTCGATGGTGTTCATTAGAGTGATGCAAAATTTGAAATTTTCACTCCACAATACTTAAACGATTCCAAATCGGATTCTGACTAACCTCTCAAAATTTGAACCCATTTGGTGAGAAACTGAGATGGCACAAACCATTTGAAGTTTGTATGGGAATTACTATGGTAAAACCAAGATTTTAGTTCATGTCTATCTAATAATTCACCATATCAGTCTGCTTCAAAAGCTTTCATCTGCACTT